CTCACTTCAGCCTCCCAAAGGCACGGGATTACAGGCTGAGCCACCGAGCCCGGCTGAGTTTTCTTTCTAACCTTATGTTTTAACCATCTTTTCTACCAGCAATGATTTGTTGAATTCATATAATGGGGTGGAAGTTTATATGTTCCTTATCGTGAACAAGTCTTTACATTTATCACCTTGTTTACTACTCATCACCACTCCATGAATGAACAGGTCTACACTGACTGCCTGCCACCACTCCATGGGTAAACACTTTTATTGTCTCTTTTTTTTTTTATAAACAAAGAAACCAAATCTCAGAATATAAGGAAACTTGATGTTCAATAGCTTTTTTTTATTTCAAAACAATGGATGTTTTCATTGTCCAGTCAGGGTTTTATATGTGCATTAATTTTCCATGGCTACTGTAATAAATTACCATAAAACACAATTTTGTTTTATAGTTCTAGAGGTCAGAGGTCCAAACTGGGTCTCAACTAGGCTAAAATTGAGGTGTTGGCAGGGCTGCCTTCCTTCTGGAAGCTCTGTGGGAGAATGTTTCTTTGCCTTTTCTGGCACCCAGAGGCTCCCCATTCCTTGGCTTATGGGCCCTCCCTCTGTCTTCAAAGCCAGCAGCAGCCACTGAGGCCTTTCCACATGGTGTCACCCTGGCTCTTTCTCGCCTGCCTCCCTCTTCCACTTAGAAGGACCCTTACGATTTCAGTGGGTACACCTGGAAAATCCAGGTAAATTTCCCACCTCAAGGTCAGCTGGTTAGCTACCTTAATTCCATCTGCAACCATAATTCATATCTGTCACATAAAATAATGATGCAGTTTGGGTGGTTGTTCCCCTCCAAATCTCATGATGAAATGGCACACCTCATCAGCAAGGGTGCCTGCATAATGAACATTGGTGTACCTAACCCCAAATTGGACCCCACATATTTAAAATTAAAAATTAAGAAAAAAGAGAAATGTGATCCCCATCGTTGGAGATGGGGCCTAGTGGGAGGTGATGGGATCAGAGAGATGGAATCCTCATGAATGACTTGATGCCACTCTTGGGTCATGAGTGGGTTCTTTCAGTAATGAGTGAGTTCACTCAAGAGCTGGTTGTTTAAAAGAGCATGGCCCTCCCTCTCTGTCTCACTCCTGCTTCTGCTCTCGCCAAATGACACACCTGCTCACCTTCCATCTTCCACCATGATTGGAAGCTTCCTGAGGGCTCAGCAGATGCCAGCACCATGCAAAACCATGAGCCAGAAGAAACCTTTTTCTTTATAAATTACCCAGCCTCAGCATAGGCAACATAATGAGACCTTATCTCTACAAAAAATATAAAAGTGAGCCAGGCATGGTGGCGTGCACCTGTAGCCCCAGCTACTCGGGAGGCTAAGGCAGAAGGATCACCTGAGCTCAGGAGGTGGAGGCTGAAGTGAGTTATGGCTGTAACCACTGCACTCCAGTCTGGGTGACAGAGTGAGACTACAACTCAAAAAAAAAAAACTGTTAAAGAAAGAAAGAAAAAGCCAGGCACAGTGGC